GGTGCTGTACGACGACCGGCTGAGCACGGTGTGGAGCGCCCCCAATTATTGTTATCGGTGCGGCAACATGGCGAGCGTGCTCGAGGTGAGCGACACTGGGGAGAGATTCTTCAACGTGTTCGCCGCGGCGCCGGAGAATGATCAGGTCAAGGACGCCCAGATGAGTGGTGGTGGAGGGGATAAGGGAGCGGATGGCGGCGCGTTGCCAGATTACTTTTTGTAGAACAGATGGAGGGGACGGTTCAATCACCTGGGGATAGGTGTGGCTTAGCATGGCTGGCCTGATGGGGAGAGAGTATATATGACCGGTCGCCTTCCCTGGTGGCGGATGGCCCTTACCTAGTACCGACGATAGACGATGATACCAAACGAATTTTTGCGGTCTGCCGTCAAGGCCTCAAAATCTGGCTTGAGATGTCATTTTCCGTTTCCCGGGTGCTATCTAGGTGATGGGCGCAAAAAGAAAACAGCAAGAACAAGTAAACGAATTATCCTTCAGGACACGGTGTCCCACGCGAGAGCGGGCGAGTCGCTGCCAGGAAGAGCAGGACCAAGGCGCGAAGCAAAACCGCAATCCACCTCTCCCCGTCCCGAGCCCAACCTCTCCCAGCAAAAGCCAAAGCAACCTACACAAACCAGCCAGCCAAGGGGTGTCCTGTCGTCCAATGGAATCTGCCCTGCCTGCCCCAGAGACAAAAGTCATCCGGAAGATAAACAGTGAAGGTGACAGAGCTAGATCCCCTCCATTCAGAACGCTCGGTTCACGCGCCGAGATCCATTGATGCTGGTTGCATGCATGCGTGCCAAAAACCGACCGCCCGTTCCAACCCTTCCGGAAAACCCGATTCACCCTTCTTTCACCCTTCCTTTCCGGGAATTGTGACCCACTCACGACGACGAGCTGCCCGGCCCCCTTCAGACCAAACCGTGAATCCCATCCATCCCATGCGAAGCTGGCCATTCCATTATCCGGTATCGGGCCGAGCAAGGGAGGGCGAGATCACCAGTCCTTGTCGATCTCGAAGGCCCAGTCGAACTGCAGATGGGTCTTCTTGTCGTCGTCGACGAAGCTGGAGCTGACGAAGTAATGGCCGCGGGCGGCCCAGCCGGCTGGAGCTGTCTCCTCTTGGACTGCGTTGGATGTCAGTGAGGTGTTGGAGGGGTAGATTGTGAGTATGTTAGCGGGGCATTACATTTCTTGGTGTAGATGGGCTGCTTGGCGGTGTTGGGCGCGAAGCTACCCTGCAATGGCTGTCAGTCTCTGAGATCGATCATAACAAGAGGTTTAGTGGCCTTACAATCATCTCGGAAGACTTGTCGCCCAAGAGCCCCAGGCCCTTACGCTTGATAACCTGGACGTAGTGCAGGCCGCTGAGGATCTCGTGCTGGACCTTGAACTGGACGCTCATGGTGAAGACCGCGCCTCCCTTGATCTTGAAGAGTTTCTTCTTGAGGTCGTCGGCACTGCCAGGAGCCGAAAGATCAATGACAACGGGGTCGCGACCGGGCGACTCCATCGTAAGCGACTGGATGATGCACACGCGGGGATCCTTGGGATCCGACAGATCGTCGGCGGCCAGGCCAAGAGACTGCTTGTAGCGCTGCAGAGACTCATCGCCCTCGTCTGAAGAGTCATCAGTGTCAGCCTCTGATTCGTGACAATCGTCCGTATCCTCCTCCTCGTCTTCCAGAGAGCTATTGTGAGGGTAGGGAGAACGGCATCGCACCGGGCGACCCGCTGGTGTATCATTCCGTGCACCCCGACTACCCAGGCTTGCCGGGTCGGGGTCGCGGAAGCTGACTCTGCGAACAAAAGACATCTTGTCCTTGAACTTGGTAAAGCAGCTTGTTGGATAGGGTTTGTTGTCTAAGAGAAGAGGCGAAAGGCCAAAGAGTGAAGTGAAGTGAATCGAAGGATCGCGGGATGGGGAGTGAAAATGAATGTACTCGCGTTGTGGGAATGGAAGTTCGAAAAGAGTGTACTCGCAATTTGGTATCGCGAAGATTGACTTGAAGGGTAAGAAAAGAAAGAACGGGAATTAATGAAGGTTGGTTTGTTTTGGGAGTCGAGTGACAGAGAGAAGCCCGAGCCGAACTAAGCCCACGTGCCAGACGTAGTGGGAGAGAATTGCCAGGTGACTGGGAAACAGTGCTATCAAATAAAAGCACTGGAACTTAGGGCTCGGGCCGGTGCTGTTTGTGAATTTGGGAATAAGTGGTGGTGAAGATTGTTAGAGAGTGCTTCGGTGGGCATCCATCTCTGTCAGGATACCTAGGTAACCGACCAGGCGGACTACCCACACCGCACTCTCCTGAGGCCATTTGCACTCATAAGGATGCATGATTCACGAACATGGCTCAAGGGGGAAAGAGACCTAGTCACCCAAATCCAGTGTCTCTTGTTGAACTTACCCATTTTCTGGTACTCAGCTAAGGACTGCTTGGGCTGAGAGAGCTTGTAGCCAGTGGCGTTCTCGGGCAACAGCTCATCTTCCTGGGGTGCCATGGTGAATAATTAAGAATTGGTGAAATAAAGTTGCACGTTGTTTTCACGGAGCTGGAGAGGCTATCCTGGCAAATATCCTATGCCTGGTCGTCGGTTTGCCGTAAATCTAAGGTTGGGAGGGGATGATGTGGACTTGTCGGTGACGATGGAGACCAAGCTTCCCTGGTATTTATTTGGGCGGTGATGAGGGGTGGTCGATAGAGGGGTCCTCAGGCCATACTTCTTTGGCCAACCAGCGGCACGTTTGGCGGGGTTCTGGCCGGGCCGGCCCACCTTGAATCAGTGTCGGTTGTGTGCCATTGGACTGTCACAGATCTGGAACATCAACAGCAGAAAAGGGGAGCTCTGCCATGCCCAACCGTATCCCGGGAGAGGCACAGGGACGGGGCGAGCTAAGTTGAGACCCAAGCATCGATCCGTTGGAGCACTTGGCCATGAAACCAGGACTCTGGATCCCGCGCCGCCTCCTGGTAGTCGGTATTTTCAGACGCTGGTTTATTTACAGCTGTATGGTGTGGAGATACATAAATAACTGCTGGGTTGTGCACAAACTGCCGACATTAGCTGCACTGGAACGAGTACGTCGCCTGGTTGACTCGGCATAACTAGCCGCTGGTCTAACATAATCTGAGCACCTCCATTCTTCACTTGAGAAAATAATGAGATAGTTACGGGCTCATCTCGCTGGCAAATGCTGGAGATGGAGGAGCAGTTTTCCTTGAAGAGGGTGGTCATGGCTGGTTGGGACGGTGTCTCACACTTCACAATCCAGACCGGCCAAAGGGGGCCAAAACCTGTTGCCCAATCGGTTCACCGCTCATTTTTACGATGCCCAAAAGGTTCAACCAGACCCGAACTGGAACGGAGCGGATGATTTTCCGATGTGGTGAGACGGGCATGGAGGCGAAATGGACTCCATCAGACTCAGGTTCCCTTGGTGTCCTTTTTACCGATTTCAAGGTGGACCCTGGTGTTTGCCTGCACCTGTCTGTCTCCGAGGGATTGTGCCTGGGCGTCGAAAGAGCAACCACATGACTTCCCAAATCTCCAGAAATTGCAGCCTGTCACCAGCGTCCGAAAGGGACGTGGCAACCCGGTCGCTGCCAGGCTGACAAACGGATGGCTGCCCAACCGATAAGGCGATGATGCCGGAAAAGGCGTCAAACAACCGGGCGACAGAGAGACGCTGAGCGCGGCTGTGGCTCGGAGGGGGAGGTGACCCCCAAGGACGAAAGGAGTTCCCCAAGAATGTGCATGTCATCCTACCGCATCCCGCGCGGCAGCGCGAGAAAAAGAAGGCAGAGCCGCTTTATCGGTGACTTGGAGAAGGCCAATTCGCTCGTGATGGCGGCTTTAACCTCCCTGCCGAGAGACGGCGTGTGGGGATGCCGCATTGTGCAGGCCCCTCGCCGTTCCCCTGATGGCTGAATTCGCTGTTGGAACTCTTGAGCCCCCAACCCTTTTTGGGTGTGTGGAGCATGGAAGAAGCCAGCTATCCAATCGGCGGCCAGCGACCCTGCGCTTGACGGACAGTTGTGATCCGTGCCCTTCCACTCAACACGCTAGACGTTCCCCACACCTCGAGTCGCGCTGATGAACTCGCTCATTGGGGCTGGTCGTTCGTTACCCCAGGACCCCCCCCAGCTCCTTCGCCCAATCTGTCATCTGCTCCCCCAGAAACAGATTGCAGATTGCGCCAGGTCCAAAAACTGCGTTAATCGCATCGCGAGCATCAATATTGTTGCGCTGTTGTTTTGCCTCCAACATCACTTTTATCTGACCACCCGCAGTTTGGCCCTTGCGTCATTTCCCCGTCTTGTCTTATTTCCGCTGGTCGTCCGCGACAAGAACGGCACGGTACGGAGACCCTTGCGGCGACGCGCGAAGAATTTCTCTCGTCGCGCTTCTCTCCTGGTACCCCGGGCCTTCCAGACCACGCGCTCAGGATAGATCTGCTCGCCCGCTACTCTTTCTTTGCGCGGCAGCCTCCTGTAGTCAAAGCACATTCGGCAAACAATGGCGCCAGACCGGCGTCTTCCAGAACGACACAATCCTCTTCTGACTGAGGATGTGCCAGCTCGTATGTCCATCGCTTTGCCCCCGAACTGACTCGTTGCTAACTTGTTGCCATAGACAGCGATTTGGTCAGCCGTCGCCGCCTCGGGCAGACTCAGTTGACCGCACGCATGATCGCGACAGCCCCTGCGGGAGAAGTCGACACGTCGGCGCTTGGCGCGTTCGATTACGCGCACCTGCGCGCTCCGCTGCCCAAGGGCATCGTGTCTGGCATCTTCAAGTCGTCACCGCCCAGCTACTTCCTCATGCGGCGCAGTCACGACGGATTTGTTTCCGCCACCGGCATGTTTAAGGGCCACGTTCCCGTACGCGGCGCAGGAAGATGAAGAGGCGGAACGTAAATACATGAAGTCTCTCCCGTCGACGAGCCATGAGGAGACGGCCGGAAACGTGTGGATCCCGCCTGAGGAGGCTTTGGTGCTGGCCGAAGAGTATAATATTCTCCCTTGGATCCGCGCCCTCCTCGATCCTACCGACATCGTGGCCACCGCTGGCGCCGACAGCGGCCCCCCGAAGAAGATCAGTGCGCCGCCCAAGTTCTTCTCCGGGCAGCCGACGCTCGTCCCGCCTACACCGAGACGCAGCCGTCGCTCCGCCAGCCCGGCCAAGTCCGCCGTCCCGAAACGCGCAGTTGCGAGTCCGCGGAAGCGTCGCACCGCCTCATCCCAATCGTCGATCGTAACCGATAGCCTACCGGCTAGCGTCGGAGATTCGGTTTCGCCTACTCTCGTAAATGAAACACCGTTCCAGTCCCAGGTCTCGGCGACCTCGCTGTTGAAGGTGGCAAAGGTCGGGGACGCCACCGAGTCCGAGCTCAAGATCGAATCGATCGAGAAGGAACCTGCCGTCTTGCTCGAGCCCGTGCAGGAGGAGCCCAAGGTCAAGATTCATCTCGACCAAGACGTCTCGGTAGATGCGGATGGTGAGGAAGTCAAACACACAAAGGTTGAGGTCGAGGTTCCTCTCCTCGGTGAGCTTCCGTCACCCGAGGATGCGGCCAAGATGGTTGCCGATGCCAAGGCGATGGTCGAAGCTGCAGTCAAAGCCGACAATGAGGCCTCTGGTGCGGCATCGAGCAGCAAGAGCAAGCGGAAAGCCGATGACATTGCCCAAGACGAAGAGGGCGAGGAGGGCGAGGAGGGCGAGGAGGGGGCCGTTGAGCCGCCCAGGGCCAAGAAAGTCAAGACGGATGCAGAAATCCGCAAGGAGAAGATCCGGAAACGGGCCTTCTTTGGCCTCACCGCCACGGTTGCCGTGGGAGCACTTGGGTAAGTCCCTTTTCTGGCTATTCATATCCACGCATATCGCTAACAAGGTTTTACAGTGCGCTCGTCCCGATAATTACACCATATGTGATGAATGCGCTATAATGGCAACTAAATCTCATCCATTATTTGGTGGCGCCCTCAGTGGCGCGAGATTTCAGCCTAAACTGGGCGTATCAAGTCTCTCATCACACATATTGGTTTGGAGTTGTGGGAGGATATCGGATGGGCGGGGCGGATTTCTCCTGCTATTTTGAACGTGCCTGTTCACATTTTCACCCTTTTTCGTGCACATACCCCCTGCGGCGATGCCGCCTTTCATCAAACATACACTGGACATCGATGGTGGTTGGAGGGGACGAGGGAAAGATTTGGTTAAAAGACACTTGGAGTAGGTAGGTAGGCCCGGGACAGAGATGGCCTTGGAACACCTCGGGCTCTAGGACGGGCGAGGGGTGCGTGGGTTGGGTAGGGGGAGGGCGTTGTGGTGACCAGATAATCCCAGTATCCCCTTGTAATGGACGGACCTAGAACCTACTAGGCTCCCGCAGCGAGTTGTAGGCGCACGGCGTTTGTATTGAGTCTCAGATACATAAGTACATGAAGATACTCTGACCGTTTCCCGGATCTGGTGCCATTGTGAGACAACCTTAAGGGTTAGGGCCTGTGTCTACAACTTTCCGTGCCTCATCTCGGAACCGAAGGGGGCTTGCAGCGGTGGAAGGGACCAAGCCCGATCCGGCTGAATTCCGTCGCGCACAAAAGCTTTTCCTCGTCAAAGTTCTTCGCTGTTTTTCCTTTCCCCTTCGACTTTCCCAAAAAAAGAAGGAAAAAATCGGCGGGATCCTATTCCTCCCCTCTCAATGACAACCTCCTTCTCTTGAGGCTCTCTAGAGTCTGACGGAAGAGCGGGAGCACCCGCCCTTCTCCACGCTTACTCCTTTATGCTCTCCGCCTCGGGCCATCAGGTCTGGTGACCCGTGGATCCGACCATGCTCAAATGAGCTGCGGCCGGCAATGGGCGGCTTTGGGACTCGGCTTCCCCGCCGATCACCCACTACCGGATCAACAACACCGAAAGGTGCCTGCTATCCCCTTTGAGTACACACTGTCAACTCCTCGCACTAACTGAATAAACCGCCTTGCGACTACGAGAACACAAGATGAGGAACGTAGGGAGGTTATGGAGGCCCACACTCCGCATCCAGCGCCGGGACTTCTCGTCCTCGGCCCGCCGGCTGGATAACTATGCCTTCATCGGCCTGGGCCAGATGGTATGTTTTTGTGCAACTCAATAACTTCGTCTATGGCCATGCTGACCTTGTCTTCATCGACTAGGGGTTTCAAATGGCGAGGAATCTCCAGGCCAAGCTACCACCCAGCGACACCATCCGCGTCTTTGACATCAACAAGGCCGCCGCGGAGAAGCTGATGCATACGATGAAAACACAGCAAGCCGGCGGTGCGGTGGCAGAGGTCGCTGACAGCGCCGGCGACGCGGCTAGGGATGCGGTACGTGACTTTCTTATTCTCGCTCCCCTCTGTGGTTCGTACCCCGGGCTTTTATGATGAGTTTGTTTTATCCATGACTTGTTCTAAGTTGGGCCGGTCCGCCGGCCTTCACCGTGATTATTGTTATACAACAAAAGCCAATCCTCTGAGAAGCCCAAGAACCACTCTGGTATTTACTAGCGAGTTAGGAAGATGAGCGTTGAACCTCAGCTGACCGAAACTCACTCAGGATACTGTCATAACCTGCCTTCCAGAGCCAAAGCATGTCAAATCCGCATACGAGACCATCCTCTCGGCGTATGCCACCACCCCAAAAAGCGAATCACCCGCGAAGCCCAAGACGCGGCTCTTCATTGACTGCTCCACCATCGACCCCTCCTCCTCACGGGAGGTCGCCAACGCCGTATCCACCGTCTTCCCCAACGGGCGAGGCAGCTTCGTCGACGCGCCCATGTCGGGCGGCGTGGTCGGGGCCACGGCGGGGACGCTGACCTTCATGCTGGGCGCACCACAAGCCCTACTCGGCTGCATCGAGCCGGTCCTGCTCCGGATGGGCAAGCGGGTGCTGCACTGCGGTCCGCAAGGCGCCGGCTTGTCGGCCAAGCTGGCCAACAACTACCTGCTCGCCATCGAGAACATCGCCACGGCCGAGGCCATGAACCTGGGCGTGAAGTGGGGGCTGGACCCCAAGGTGCTCGCGAGCGTGATTAATGTCAGCACGGGCAAGTGCTGGCCGAGCGAGGTCAACAATCCCGTGCCGGGCGTCGTGGAAACGGCGCCGGCGGGGCGGGATTATGCGGGCGGGTTTGGGATTGGGCTGATGAGGAAGGACTTGAGGCTTGCGATGCTGGCGGCTAAGGAGGCGGGTGCAGATCTGCCTCTAGCGGAGAAAGCGTCGGAGGTGTATGAGACGGCCGAGTCGGAGGAGAGGTGTAAGGGCCGCGACTTTTCGGTCGTCTATCGCTGGCTTGGGGGGAAAGAGTGATGGTCGTCGTACTATATCAATACAGTCCTCGCGGGCATTGTTGCACTGTTGCTATTATCCTTCTTCCGCACTAGTATTTTCCAATAACTGGGCCCACGGGAAGTGTGCAACCACTCGAGGCGGGACGTGCCTGTCGGTGGGATACGATTGGCGGCATTGGGGTGGAAGCTGGAGAACATGGAGCCGTCCCCAGTCCCCTCCAACACCCCGCATGCTTGGTATTTCTCCGAGCTTCCAAAAGTTCCACACAGCCCTGCGTGGCCTTCCCGCCCGCCCCTAACCAGGGAACTCTTGGCCCCGAATATTCCTGAAATCCAGTCAATCCAGGAACTAGAACGTTCACATGCGACGAACCATTTCCCGTCCGATTGCGTCCTCCAAAATCCTCTTTTCCAAAACGGATCAGCTAAGTCGTTGATTCCCCCCACACCCACATCACTGATTCATTGTGCGAAGGATTGGATCGGCTGTCAATCAAGCAAGTCCAATGGACCCCCGGGGTGCCCCTATTCGGGTTCCCTTCGGGATTCCATGACAACCTTTTCAACTGTCACTCTGACCATCCAGCCCGAACCGAATCATTGTGCCCGCCCAGACCAGCAAAGAACGGCGGCATACCACCCTCCCTGGTCTTCTTCAGGGATCTTGGCCCGGAGCTGGCCTCGGGTTTTGAGAATTGGGTCGGATCGCTTAACGGTTTGCGGGCTGTTTAAGAGGGACCGTAGCATTCAACCGGTAGGGTAACGATGGGACGGTGTGTTTTGGGGGAGGTATATAGGGCTCGACTGGACCGCGCTTGGGGTATCGGGGTTGGTTTGGTTCTTTTTTGTTGGTGCTCAGTCGTGTTGATACCCAGAGAAGATAGTTACTGGTTTTGAACCTGCCTTTTGGTTTTTAAATATCAGACTTCTCGATACCATCGCTCGCGCAGCAGCCGTGTTGCAAGTCATATGTCCAACCAGCCGCCCCCCTTGGCTTGACATTGAACAACGCAGCGTAGCCTACAAGTCAAGAAAAGAGCCGCAATGGTCGAGCTCGACCCATCCATGTTCCCACCGGGATGGGACCAGGACGCCATCGACGACGCCATCGCCAACTACTACTACTCGTGCACCCACATCACGGCCAACTGCACCGTCGAAGCCACCACGCTTGGGTACTACCCTAACAGGGGGATCAACATCTTCCTCGTCATTGGGTTTGCCGTAGCAACCGTGATCGCACTGGTACTGGGAATTCTGAAGAAGACATGGAGTTACACATCCTTCATCGCGGCTAGGTGCGCGTTGGAGCTCCCAGGTGGGTGTTATCCAGGGGAGAAGGGGGAGGAGGGCGGTAGAACGCCAACTCTCTCCCCCCCCCCCCTTTTTCAAGACAAACAACTCGAAGCAAAACACAAGACACCAACAACTAACCCCCCCCCTCCCCCAGGCTACGGCGCGCGCATCCCGCTGACCGACAACCCCTGGAACAAGCACGCCTTCGAGACGCAAATCGTAGCCATCATCCTGGCGCCCACGCTCGTGTGCATCTCCATCTACCTGACGCTCAAACACGTCTGCCTGGCGCTCAACCCGACCTTGTCGCGCGTGCGCCCCCACCTGTACCCCTTCGTCTTCGTGCCCCTCGACGTCTCCTGCCTGCTCGTCCAGGCCATCGGCGGCGCCCTGGCCGCGAGCGCCGCCACGAGCAATTTCAAGATGGTCCAGCATGGGAATCGCTGTATTATTGCGGGCATTGTGCTGCAGGTGGTGGTGTTGAGCTTTTTTGGCACGTCCGCGGGGGATTATTATCTGAGGGTGCGGAAGTGGTGAGTGCGGGGGGTTGGTGATGGGTTGTGTTTGTTGTTGTTGTTGTGGGTGACTGAGGGGGTGGAGTGGGATGCCCGGCTAACCTCACTTCGATAGGATCAACTCTCCCGAGGCGGACCCCGAGGCTGTTGCGCTGTGGCGTGATAAGAAGTTTAGGATGTTTGTGTACGCTGTGACGGGGGCGTATAGCGGCATCTTGATTCGCTGTATCTATCGGTAGGTTCCTTGACTCGTCACCTTGACTACAAGATGATGCTGACTGACGGGTCAGTATCGCGGAGATGGCTGGTGGTTGGGGCAACCACATCATGCAGGACGAGCCGTCGTTTATCGTGCTGGAGGGATTGTGAGTAGAGCCGGGCGATGATCAGAACCCGAGCAAGTTCACTGACCTGAGCAATAGTATGGTCCTGATTCCCTGCCTCCTCCTGGCTATCTTTGCCCCTGGTTACCTATTTCCCCAAATGGCGGCGCGTATGTCTGCTCCCGGCCGCGTCGGGCTGAAACGGAAAGATGGCGAGCAGACTGATGATGCTGAGAAGAAGGCCCAGCCGGGGGCCCTCGGGGGTCAGCAGCCCACTACCAGCGGTGATGAGTCTGCCGTCGGTGAACAGGTGAAGGAAGCCGCGGTACCGGCAGTGGAAGAGGCCAAAAGTACCTAAGGAAGCAAGCTGGAAATGGGCGATATTCTATTATGTATCTTGGTTTTGGCGACTTTCAAGGAAAATGCCTACGATAAGTTCTGCACTTAAACCGGATTTTTCGTCCGGGCTTGGGAGTTGATTTTGCAGCTCTGCCATTGGATTGACAGCAACTGAGAACACATTTTTGGTCGGTTCAAGTTGAAATGTTGGGCAGTTCGTCGCAAAACACCAAGATTCGGCGTTGCCCAGAACATGTGCGACGAAAACCGCATACTCAGTAATAATTCACAAATCGTATAATATCACTCGCACCGTGAGCTTAGGCTTTATTCTATGAACAAATTATCAAAATATGCTAGTTATGGAGGGACACAAAGAGCGAAGGAAAGGCTGGACTTGGACGTTAATTGCACCTGTTATTGCTGTGGCAAGTTTCTCCATCGTGAAGTCAAAGAAGAGGGTTGATAGTGACAGAAGGTGGCTGTTGCTTTATAAAGAATAGACAGACGGGACTTACCAGTCACTTTCCTTGGTGAGCCTCCTGTTGTTGGGTATGTCTACTCCTCGAAAGACGAGCCCTTCTCTCCTCATCCATATCCAGAGACTCTTGCACAAGTGCCCATTCATGTCAACCTCCTTCATTGTTCAAGACTAGCAAGAATCAGTGCAACTGGGTTTCTCTCGGGCTGCCCTCTTAGGCAAGGCAGCAAATGTTGTCTGTGAGTTGGACAAGGAGTGGACAAGGAGTGGACGCAAAGTGAATAAGAGGTCAAGGGAAATACCTCGAAAAGGATCTTGATGCCTTAATTTAGTTACAGGAAGGCACGCGTATGCCAGTTTCAACCAGCACGCCTGAATTTAGTTTGTTGAGTCTGCAAAAACGCGCCTGGGGCCCCTCTTGCCCTCTTGAAATTTATTTCAATTAGTGGTGGGCGTCTGATTTGGGCACTGGGTGTTTTTATTTAAACTCGAGTCTCTTCTGTTTTCTCAACTTCTCAACTCCCAACCACAAACCCCTCGGCAGAACACCTCCCTGCCCGCCATCATGGAGGATCGCCGGCGCCTCGCAGCGCCCGAGTTGACCCAATGGGTCAAAAAAATAAAAAATAAGATGACGAGCCTGCCGCCGATGGGGGACTTCCAAGACCCTCGGGCGGACTTCCGCCACGGTTTCGTTCTGCGCCTCCGGCTCTCTCGCCGCGAGCGAGAGATGTTGGAGGTTGCAGCAGCCGACGAGGACGGCCCTCCCTCTCCTCTCCCCGCCGCCGGCCAGCCCGGGCTGGCAAAGCAGGTCGCTGTCCTGCTCTTCCTCCGGTGGTATGTATCAACTCCCTCAAGTCTATCGACTTACACGCCCAGATATCCCCGTTCCCAGTCCCTGCCCATTCACTAGACTCCTCAAACCGCACACGATGAGGGGCGTTTCTGAGCGCTCCGGGGCGGCCAATGACACGACTGGTTGCTTGGTCTGTCACTGTTATTGTGCGCTGACCCTCGAGGGATGCCCTGGTCCATGCGAAAACTCCGCCGACGGGTGATCGAGGGCTTGTGTGGCCACTCTATTTTTGCCTCTTTCATTCTAGGCACCCTTTGTAATCTGCAATAAACTGAAAGGCCCCAAAGTTGTCTTGGAAAAATCAGTTCTGGGTCAAACCTCCCAGGTTCGCAATGGGGCAGTCACAATCTGACCTCAGGAATCACAATTCACAAGCAGGATTGGATCACTTCTCATTGACAGGGCTCAGTGAGCACTGGATCATGGGGAGTGATCCAATCTTGTTTGTTGAGAAGCAATTTGATCCTACAAATTCATCACAGAGCCTCTTTTCTCAATCTTTGGGAAGAAATTTGCTCACAACTTTGTTACACCCCAGGTCGTTCGCCCACCACACCCTCCGAGAGCTGCTCTCCCAGCTGGGGGAGGCGGAGACCGACTCGGCCAGCGAGTCAAGCGAGTTCGGCGACGGGACCAACTCGGAAACGTCGTGGGGCTGGCACCCCGCCGCCAAAAAGAGCGCGGCCGAGAAGGAGCACCAGTCGGCCCTCCTCAAGTCGTTTGCCGTCGGGCTCGCCACCCGACTCGATTACGCCCTCCCCTTCGACGCTCGCAGAGAGCGGGTGAAGGAGCTGCTCTCCGACCCGGAGAACGTGGAGTTCTGGGATAACTACCAGAACTGCCACGGGTCCATGGCCAGAGAGCTGGACAACGACAACCCGGAGAAGTTCGCCGTCGCTCCCATCCCGGAGGACGAAAAGATTTGGTATGTTGCCCTTGAATTTTGTCTGATGGAGACGACGTGTGATTATTGATGAACTCCGAACTGACCTGCTTGATGTAGGCTCGGCCTTGCCAACAAGGTCATCAAGACGCACCATGTCATGTGTAGGTGGTACGTACAACCCGCTCAGTTTCAACACTCCACCAGATGAAAGCAGTACACTGACATTTACCCCCAGGCCTGGTGTCCACGAAGCCGCGGCATTTGCCGCCCAGGCGCTCGGAATCCGTGGCATGGGCCCGGAGTACCCCTTCATCGGCACCTGGTTCAAGCGGTACCTGACTGCCATCTCCCAAGCGACGGCGCACAAGGGTAGACCCAATATCTACGCCTATTGGATTTGCAACGGCACTGGGCAGTTCAATCCCCAGTTAATCAGGAACCTTGGAGAATTCCGTTGCTCTGCCGATTACCCCGAGTACGAAGAGGATTGGGTGCAGACCGTCTATGCCTCCGTTGACGCTGCCGATGTTTGGGATGTCTGGACACTTTTGCGCATGATCCAGTGCGAGTCAGCTTCCCGAGAAATCACGGCCTCGGAACTCAGACTCCTGCGCGCGGCACAATACCAAGCAGTACGTACAACAATGGATACATCATGTGTTGAGATGAGGCAATGCTAACACTGGTTCATTACAGGGGCCCCCTGACCTCAAGAAGGAATGCTCTCCTGCCATCCTCGATCTTAAGGAATATGTGGACATTGCCCGCTACAACTCTCCCGAGTACCAACTTCGGCCTGTCACATCCAAGACCACAATCACGGAGCTCCTCGAGAAAGCCGGCCTCGATACCACCGGCAACTGGGATCTTCTGGCCCTGACGGCAACAAAGCAAGCCAAATCATTTTCCGGCCAGTTATGGAGCCTGGGAGGTCATTACCGCCATGTCTTTTATCTCACTGACGACGTGACATCCCACTACCTTGGCAATAACCGTGACCTGCTTGGTCTCAACATCCCCTGCAAATGCAATGGATGCGACTGTCCTGGCTATCAGAACAAGAGACCAGGCCGAGATACCAAGAGCAAGACCAGGGTCGACTTCTGGATGGAGAGGATCGAGCTCTCTCACCACACCGCACATTGCAAATCTCACCATGGAGGAGATGGCCAGATCGTGTTCGCCCGCCGCAAGTTGGATCCCGCTTTACTACACAGGATTCTGGAACGCTACTGGATTGACTGGGTGAGTATCCAGCTTCCTCTTTCTACCCATGACATGGTTTGAGAATTCTGCTAACCATATGTATTTAGAACGATTGCATGCTCATCTTTGGCCGGGGTGACGACGGTCGAGGCAACCTCATTGACGGCAAAACCCTCTATCTGCTTGAGACCCTCCCCGGCATGAAACTTCGCGGCTTAAAGCGAAAGACAACAGACGAAGCCCGCGGTCTTGCCTCGGCTTGCCTCTATCTCAACCTCAAGCTTGATCACCAGTACGAGGGCACCGAGGGCCGCAACCTGCTGAAGAGCATCATGCGGGAACGGTACCACCCTCGGTTCAGCGACTTCACATGCCTGATCCAACGCCGTGACGCTGGCATCAACTGGGATGATGCTGCTTTTTTCAGCTGTGGTCGCTACGGCTCAACCTACGGGGTACCCTGGAGCGTCGGGAGGCGGTACGACCAGTTCGGAAATGTCTGTTACAACAGATACGAGACTGGCATCGCCCTGATCAGGATCATTGCCAATTCTGATGGAGAATCCCGAATCGCGAGGGACAACATGTTTTGCAACCGTGTAAGTCCCCAATTACTCCTCGTGGGGTGAAGTTTAACCCAGGCGTTCCTAACCTCCCTTTCTAGCTCGAGTCCTTTTACGATTACGTCGCCGGCAACCGCTTCAAGAACGTTGTCCACTTCTACGGTTTTATGTCAGTACCCGTCAAGACCATCCCCAGCACAGGGAGCAACCGACCGGCTCCGTACAAACCCGAAGCGGCTGTCCCCGGAGACCGGGCCTTTGCGTTTGTGTTTGAGCACACCAAGGGTCCTCTTCTCGACTTCATTGAAGACATGGTCGACGACTGCTTGGAGAGGGAGACTTGGCTCGCCATCTTCAACTTTCTTCACGAAATTGGCACCACCCTGCGCGATATGCACGCCACCATCGGGCCGTACCGGTACGTTTACCTCCCCATCTCCCAATCTTCACCATCCATCCCCTGTTTGACAACCATTCAACCCTCCCCTACCCTTTCCCACCCTCAACGCTCCCAACCCTCCCCTACCCCCTCCCACCCTCCAACAACCCCTTCAAGAACCCACGCACTAACCCTCCCCCTCCCAAAACACCCAGATCCCTCAACCCCGCCCAAGATCCTCCTCCGCCCCAAACGCTCCCGCCTCCGCGCCGCCGACTTCAACATCCCGCACCTGCACGACCGGTACGCGGCGCCGCGCGGCAGCCCCGCCCCCGCGCGCTTCGAGGCCGTGCTCGGCGAGCCAACCCCGGTGCCGCGCCGCCCGCGCGCCTACATCGCGCCCGAGCTGCGGCGGGCGGGCAACCGCCCGGACCAGCATACCGCTGCGACGGATGCGTACGCCTTTGCGAGATATGCGCTGGATTTGATTGATAGAGCGAGTGGTGGCTTGTTTGCGGGGTTGGGTTTGGGGGGGAGGACGGGGGATGTGAGGGTGCTGTATGTGGAGGTGTTGAAGGGGTTGGAGGATGTTTTGGCGGCGGAGGGGGGGGTTGTTGCTTCGTCGTCGGCTTCGGGAGGCGGTGGTGGTGGTGTTGATCCCCGGACCAAGGCGATGGACAACTTCCTGCAGCTGGCAAAGGATGTGGTCAGCGGGGGGGTGATCCTGGATGGACATTACCCTGTTCCGGAGTCGTCCCACTGGTACTAACTTCTCGAGGGCGTTCCCGCACGTCAATGACGCCCTGTG